TAGAACAGCACCAAGAACTGGATTAATGATATTAAAATGTCATTCTCAGTTGTCTAGAAGCATTCGTTTATCATAAGCGTTTGTAGAACAAGTAATCAGTACGGAATTTCTTCATGAAATTACTTCATTAATTCTCTAGAACAGCACCAAGAACTGGATTAATGATATTAAAATGTCATTCTCAGTTGTCTAGAAGCATTCGTTTATCATAAGCGTTTGTAGAACAAGTAATCAGTACGGAATTTCTTTATGAAATTACTTCACTAATTCTCTAGAACAGCACCAAGAACTGGATTAATGATATTAAAATGTCATTCTCAGTTGTCTAGAAGCATTCGTTTATCATAAGCGTTTGTAGAACAAGTAATTAATACGGAATTTCTTCATGAAATTACTTCATCAATTCTCTAGAACAGCACCAAGAACTGGATTAATGATATTAAAATGTCATTCTCAGTTGTCTAGAAGCATTCGTTTATCATAAGCGTTTGTACAACAAGTAATCAGTACGGAATTTCTTTATGAAATTACTTCACTAATTCTCTAGAACAGCACCAAGAACTGGATTAATGATATTAAAATGTCATTCTCAGTTGTCTAGAAGGATTCGTTTATCATAAGCGTTTGTAGAACAAGTAATTAATACGGAATTTCTTCATGAAATTACTTCATGAATTCTCTAGAACAGCACCAAGAACTGGATTAATGATATTAAAATGTCATTCTCAGTTGTCTTGAAGGATTCGTTTATTATAGGCATTTGTAGAATAAGTAATTGGTATGGAATTTCTTCCTAAAATTACTGCATTAATTCTCTAAAGCAGCACCACGAATTGGATTAATGATATGAAAATGTCATTCCCAGTTGTCTAGAAGGATTCGTTTTATCATAAGCGTATGTAGAATAAGTAATTAGTACGAGATTTCTTCATGGAATTAGTTCATTCATTCTATGGAATATTACTATCAAATGGATTAATGATCTCAAGATGTCATTTCCGGTTGTCTTGAAGGATTCATTTATCATAAGCGTTTGTAGAATAAGTAATTGGTAAGGAATTTCTTCTTGAAATTAATTGATTCATTCTACAAAATATCACCATCAAATGGATCAATGACATTAAGATGTCATTTCCTGTTGTCTTGGAGAATTCGTTCATCATGAGCATTTATAAAATAAGTGATTAGTGTGGAACTACTTGATGAAATTAGCTCATTAACTCTACGGAACATCAACATCAAATGGATCAATAATACCAAGATCTCATTTCCAGTAGTCTTGGAGAACTCGTTTATTATAGGTATAATTGTCTGAGGATTATGATCTTTTCCAAGGGTATAGTAATAACACTAGTTTCATGGCTCAGTTTTGATGGGTAGGATTGCTTCAATCCCACCAACTAATATTTATCTAAAAGCGATATCTATGGATTACTAGCAATCCATTAATTGAAGACTTATGGGACATAATTCAGGATTAAGTATTTCATACATCAAATACAAGTACAAACAGCTACTTACTGCCATATAGCAGAATGAAATAAATAAAGTGCAGGGAAAAGCATATTCTCAGTATATATTAATACATATTTATACCCATCTGCTGTTATAGAAACATTGAAATGGATCAGTTGTAGATACTAGTAAATTACCCGTTTAAATGAACGGGAACATAATCTGCACAAAGCGACACATAAAAAGAAAATTCATATCTAGATTATCTTAATATATACGCTTCCTAACATAAGTGCAATACTATACAGTATAGTATAAATACACGTACTCAA